GGTCGCCGCGCCTGCTCGAGACTCGAGAGATTTCGGAGAGAAGAGAAGAGAAAAAGAAAAAAAACAGAGAAATGTGGGACCCACACCATTGTCTCACTTACATGTGGGCCACACATATTAATTTTAAGAATAAATTACACTCACGGTACATGAACTTGTGTAGTAGGTGCAAATAGATACAATAACTTACAAATTGCTCACTTTGATACAATAACTTGGCTAGTTGGTGCGAACCGGGTCAAAATGATCCACACAAGTAAAATTGCTCTAAATTAGTGCACACTAATGACATAACAGCATATACATACAACTGTGATTTGGAGATCTTATTTCGAATCCAAATAAAAATGTGCAAAAGTTTATTTTTCATGTCCATGGTACAATATTTGTTTCATTTTTTGGAAAAATTTGATCATCTATATAACTCGTCTAATGTTTATTTATATGTTCAAGACCAAGACAATTTTTATATGTACTATTAACTACTAAAAGAAAATTTTAATTTTCATGTTCATGTTCTGACACTTTCATCGAAAGTGTATTTTAACAATCAGGTATTTTTAATTATTTTGCTTCTTTCGTTGGTCTAGATCTTGAAAGTATCATGCGACTAATAATATGTGTCAGTAAAAAATTTTGATGTGTAACAATAATTACACACTAGTACGTATCATATTACATCAATTTTACTTGTGTGGATTGGTTTGGCCCATCTTTGCATGAACCAGCCAAGTTATTGTATCGGAATAAGCAATTTGCAAGTTATTGTACCTATTTGCACCCACTATACAAGTTTGTGTATCGTGAACGCAATTTACTCTAATTTTAATTTTTTTTTTGCTGACTAGGATGCCACGTCAGCAAAACCACTCGTATATACTGCCTAGGGACCTTGAGTGAACGGTTTTGTATAGTTTAGGGGTAGAGATTTCTGGTTTTGTGGTTAAGGGACCTCAAAAAATCTCGGTGTAAAGTTGAGGGACGGCCGGTGAACTTATTCCAAGGGAGTTAATACCATTGTGGCCCAATTACAGCCCAGCTATCGTGTCAGACAGACTATGTGGGCCACAGTCTTCAATTCATACGTACAGAAAGGAGATCGGTGCATGGGCTTGGGCCACCTTCCTGTTACTTCACCTTCTGCAGCCGCCGCCGGCGGCGACTACCCGCGTGGACGACCAGTTTGTCCGCGCGGCGGAGGACGAGGCAGGCGGCGCCGGATCCATCTCGAGAGCAGATCGCGATCACGAAGGGGAGATTAAAAGAAAAGGAAGTTGTCATCCGTCCGTGTGGGCGGCGGCTCTGCGTGTCATTCAGGTGTTGGAAAGTAGCGGGCGAGGGAAATTCCCTGGGGCCTCGTCACAGCCGGGACGCCGCAGCTTTTCAGCCTGTCAAACCTCATCACGGAGATCTTAATCTCCTCGATGCACATATAGTAGATACAGGCACAGCCATTGTTTAATCATGTTCCGCCAGATGGAGTAACATGGTGTCGGGGGGTAGAGTGTTGTTTGTTCGTGCCATCTCGATCGATCACAGTGTGATTTATCCCTAGCAATGGCACGTTGCAAACACGTATCCTGCGATGCAGAGAGAAATTTACTTTACTTCTATTATGATGTGATGTCACCAACAATCAGCACAGAAACTAGCCGGCAACTGCTCACGCACAGCACACCTGATGATGGCATATCGGCATCGGTCCATACTGTATGAGAGCCTCTCGCATGTTCAGAGAACAGTGCAGAATCGGTTGTTGGATACACTGATCTTTGTGGTTCAACGAACCAAGAAGAAGAATAGAAAACGAGTTCTTAAGAGAAATGTACTACCTCCACCCTACAATGTTTGACGCCGTTAACTTTTTTTAAAATGTTTGACCGTTCGTCTTATTTAAAAAATTTAAGTAATTGTTAATTCTTTTTCTATCATTTGATTTATTGTTAAATATACTTTTATGTATACATATAGTTTTACACATATCACAAAAGTTTTTGAATAAAACGAACGGTCAAATATGTTTAAAAAAGTCAACGGTGTTAAACATTTAGGGAAGGAGGGAGTATTCCTCAAAGAACACCCCAATAAGGTTTAGTTGGATAATCTGTATTTTCGCCGCGTTTAGTGTTGTCATCCTTTGAAATGGACTTGCCAAATAGTACTACTATTAAATTTAACGTTCAGTAGATTAGCAGCTTGGACAGCGGGTGTGTTTGTTCTTTGGACGCCACTATTAAATTAAAACTGAAAAACCTAGGTTGCTTGCACGGTTGATGAAGGAATGTCTCTCTAAATAAAGGATTAATGATAACCGCAAGACATTAAACAAACGCAAGATATTTCGCCGCACAGGAGATCCTGCCACGTACATTAGCAAATCAAGCACCAAATTTTGGGAGATCCTGCCCACTCCCGGCAGTACCAAATGCCACATCATTTTATAGCTAGAGTAAAGCTAACTAATACAATAGATTGGCTATTGTGCTAACTACATAAAAGCTATTAAACAATTAATTTTGGATACACAGTACGATCAAGAATGTACTCCATCTTTGTAGCCATTTGTGCTGTCATATGAGCGTGAGTAGTCTACCGATGAAGAAAAAGAAAGAGTTTGGTTTTTGCTTTCCTAGCTCATCTCCCGCACAGCTTTAGATTGAAATCAACACCAGAAACAGCAACTAAAAGAAAATGACTGGTGGTTTATCCTTTTATCCATCTCCATTCACACGGAAGCAAAAATGAGAGAAAAGAAAAAAAACAAGAGAAAGCAAAGAAGAAAGATGGGTTTTGCAGCTAGGCAATGGCTGATTCATACCAGAGCAAACCGAGCGGTGGGTTATGTCGAGTCACAGATTAAGGAGCTCCATCCATACATCGATTCGCTTCAGTTCGGAGGGGAGGGCGTCGACCCCAGCAACAAGAACTCGATTTTGAGGTTTGAGAAGCTTGATTCGTGCCGAGAGAAGATCGATCCAGCGGCAAGGGCGTCGGTTCGCATGCATGAGGTCGATCAGCGCGAGCTCGAAATCAGCTGGTGGAGCTCTCGAACTCTCCTGGGGTGAATCATTGCCGGTGTAGTGACGTGACGCTGGCCAACATTCCGGCGAAGAACCAAGCACATCGGCGCACACCGGAGCGGAGAAGGAAAAGGCGAAATGCAGAACATTGGTGGGAACACAAGTATGAGACATGAGATCCGATGAGGGTAGTTGCGGGGGCCACAAAATGTATTTTTTGTCGTGCAACGCGTGCTATCGCCGGGCGCTTAGATAGTCGCCCACTTCAATCTCTATCTTCAGTTCTCCTTCCATCTAAGAATATGCTGGCATGGAGTATTTTGAAGCCTGCTGACTAGACTTATTGTACCTGCTCTAATAGAAGCGCATCCTCTATAAAACTGTAGTAGATAGAGTTATCAAATATAGACTACAGTGTACTGCACTCCCATTCATATAGGGATAATCCCTTACATACTACTGAAAATTGATCCGATCTCATATATGTCATTAAAAATTGGTTCTTCCCCTATATGTCATTGGTCCAATTTTGCATACCCTCTCATACCACTTCAGTATGTTGACCGTTAACTCTCAACTAAAAAGGACGTATTTGCCATTCTGAGCATAGGACATACCTAACAACTAAGAAAAACAAATACATCTTTTTTACTTTGAAGTTAACGGTCTAACACACGGTCAATAGACGGGAGTGGTATAAGAGGATGTATAAATTTGGACCAATGACATATAAGAGAAAAACCAATTTTTAATGGCATATAAGAGATCGGATCAATTTTCAATGGCATATAAGGTATTCCCTCTTCATATTTCATCCGATCAAATTAAGATGCAACGGCTACGATCAAACAGCATAGGGAGTAGAAAATACTCTGCTACTGTACAGAGTACATGCTACAGCACTCCAATACAGAGCCAGAGATGCGTTTCCAATCATAGCAGCAAGCCAGCAACCGTGTGTCCTGCATTCAACAGGTTACAGTATTTTCAGATCTGTCAGTACTGCAACTCTGGCTTCCTCCCAAATTCCCAACTTTCCATTACATAACATCACATTGAAAACTTTTCTACACACATAAACTATTAATTTTTTCTTTAAACTACCAACTTTCTCCTAACTTCCTAACTTTTCTACCATCTAAACACATCCTCTGCTAGTTTTCTCTACCCGTTACATACTACTGAGGCCTTTTTAGTTCTAAACTTTTTTTTTAAAACTTTCAACTTTTCCATCACATCAAAACTTTTCTACACACATGAACTTTCAACTTTTTCATCACATCGTTTTAATTTCAACCAAACTTTTAATTTTAGCGTGAACTAAACACACCCTAATACGTATAGAATTACAGTGTCGGTCACCTCTTGTTGCGATGTTAGTAGTTTAGAACTGTGCAGTTTGACTGGAATGCAAAACTACGTGGGTTAGTTTATTCGTGGGGATGAACACGGCCGGTGCTGGGCTAGCTGTTGTTAATGGTTGCAGGGCTGGTAGGTAGCATAATTAACCCGAGCTAATCCATTGCCCTGGCTGGCAACCTGACCTCAAATTCCAGAGCGGTTTTAACTGAGCCAAGCAGAGCTACCCTGCTCTGCTGCTCCAGGGACCGGAAAGATGACAGCGCTTTGGCTTGTGAATTGTGGTTACTGATGAGAGTTACTGCTACCTGCCGATAGCAACACTGAAATCTGACCGTTGAAATTAAGTTATCATCACGTGTGCTAGTACCTCTTTAGCACTACCTGCTTGACCTGCCACGTCGGATTATTGTTTAAGACCTGGAGTAGTGACTTGCGAGGTTTTTTTTTTTAGATAAGGACGGCTTTTACCCAACGAGTGACAGCCTCTCACCGCGCATTGATATAACATAAAGCAATCGTAGACTATTAGACACCAGGACAAGATAAATTAGTAACCCACATTTACTGAATTTTATTTGTTGAATCTTCACCTGAACTTGTGACTTGCGAGGTTAAAAGAAAGATAGCGAAATAAAAAAAGAAGAAGAAGAAAACGAACAGGGAAGAAGTCGCGACCTCATGAACAGGGTTGATGACAGAAGTAGTAGCGAAAAAGATAAAATCCAGTTCGATGACATGATACTGATTTTACGTCGCAGCGGAATGCAGAAAACCGCTTGCACGGTCGCGAAAATTACAGTTCGGCTCGCCTTGGACAGAAATGGCACGTCGATCGCGAAACGGGCGGGACGGAACGATTCAACGAGCCAGTGCCCATTGTATTGACCCAGTAACGAGCGATCTCCCCACGGGCCCACCTCTCACGATCCGGGACGGAGTACAGGGGGGCCAGCGGCAGTGGGCGAACTGCCAGCCAGGCCTACGGGGCCCACTGCGTCCGGTCCACCTACTGACGCCGCCTCGTGTCGTCTCCTAGTAAATCCTTGCCCTCTCTGCTCCTCCCAAAGAAAACAAAGCTGGCGGCTTAGGAGTTAGGAACCCACCCGCCACGTCCATCGATCACGCCGCCTCTCTTTGCGCGAGAGAAAGAGAGCGAGACGGAGGGGGGAAGGATGGGGGAGGGGGTGAAGGCGATGCTGGCGAAGCCGATCCAGCTCGCGGACCAGGTAGCGAAGCAGGCCGGGTGGCAGTGCTTCCGGGCGGAGTGCATGGACCTGCGGTCGCGCGCCGAGAAGCTGGCGGCGCTGCTGCGGCAGGCGGCGCGGGCGGAGCTGTACGAGCGCCCCGCCGCGCGCATCATGGCCGACACCGTGCGGGCGCTCAACAAGGCCGCCGGGATGGCGGCCAGGTGCTTCCAGAGCCACTCCCGCCTCCGCCGCTTCTTCACGCTCAACCCGGTCTCCGGCCTCCCCCGCACCCTCGCCATGCTCGACACCGCGCTCGAGGACGTCGCCTGGCTGCTCCGCATCTCGTCCCCGCACGCCGACGCTGGCGGCGGCGGCGACGACGACGACTACGACCTCCACGGCCTCCCCAACATCGCGCAGAACGAGCCCATACTGTTCCTCATCTGGGATCACATCGCCCGGCTCCACACCGGCAACCTCGCCGCGCGCGCGGACGCGGCCCACAACCTCGCGTCCCTCGCCCGCGACAACCCCCACTTCGCCAAGCTCATCATCGAGGAGGACGGCGTCGCGCCCCTCGTCAAGCTTCTCAAGGACGGCACCGACGACGGCCAGGAGGCCGCCGCCACGGCGCTCGGGCTCCTCGCCCGCGACGAGGAGAGCGTGGATAAGCTTCTCCTTGCCGGTGTCTGCTCCGTGTTCGCGGCCGCCTTGAAAGTGCCGCCGATGCGCGTGCAGGCCGCCGTCGCGGAGTCCGTCGCGGCTCTCGCGCATCACAACCAGAAATGCCAGGACCTGCTCGCGCAGACCAACGCCGTGCGTCACCTCGTCGGCCACCTCGCCGCCGGAACCATCCAGGAGCACAGTAGATACTATGTTGCCTGGACCGGCTCGAGGAACATGAACATGACATCCCTTCACTCCGTTGTGCTTGCCAAGACGCTCAGCGTGCATCAAGGTGGCTCTGGTTCCCCTGCCAATGAACCGCCGAGCTCGTCGGAATATCCGGGTAGCCAGCAGCAAGCAGGAAAGAACCAGATGCAATCGGTGGTGCAATCTGCCATGGCTGCCAAGACCACGGCGAACGGAGCCACGGTTCCACCCGGCTGCAGGCACCAGCTGACCCCCAACGGCTCGAGCGGTCGTGGATCGCGCGAGGCCGAGGACCCGGCCACCAAGGCTCACATGAAGGCCATGGCGGCGAAGGCTCTCTGGAAGCTTGCCCGCGGCCATGTCGGGGTCTGCAAAAGCATCACCGAGTCTCGCGCGCTTCTCTGCTTCGCCAAGCTCCTCGAGCAAGGCGACGGCGGCGCCGGCACGGACCTGCAGTTCTACTCCGCAATGGCGATCATGGAGATCACCCGCGTCGCCGAGCACAACCTCGCGCTGCGGCAGTCGGCATTCAAGCCCAGCTCCCCTGCGGCCAAGGCCGTCGTGGAGCAGCTCCTCCGCATCGTGTGCAAGGGCGACGTCGACGACCTGCTGCGCCCGTGCATCACCTCCCTCGGCTGCCTGTCGCGCACGTTCACGGCGAGCGAGACCCGCGTGGTCCGCCCGCTGGTGGAGCTGCTCGACGAGCGCGAGCTGCCGGTCACCAAGGAGGCCGTGGTCGCGCTCACCAAGTTCGCGTGCACCGAGAACCACCTGCACGTGAGCCACTGCAAGGCCATCGTCGACGGCGGCGGCGCGCGGCACCTCGTCCAGCTCGTCTACCTGGGTGACCAGGTGCAGATCGAGGCGCTCATACTGCTCTGCTACATTGCGCTGCACGTCCCGGAGAACGAGGAGCTCGCGCAGGCCGGAGTTCTCGCCGTGCTCCTCTGGGCGTCCAAGCAGCCACACATGGTGCAGGACCTGCGCGTCGACGCGCTGCTCCCGGATGCCAAGGGTCGGCTCGAGCTCTTCCAGTCCAGAGCATCTCGGTGATCAACTGGTGACGGCATTGGCGGCGATCACCGGAGTTCAAGAAGATGAGTTAGCCCTCGATTTACTGCAAAATCGAAGTAGATCTATGTCGATTGTTCATTAGTAGTTCCAAATTCTTGTTGTTTTGTTGTTAGAATGTATATATCACACCTTCAATTTGTTGCTTTGTCTCAAAGAAATTGCTCGGTGTATTGATTAGTATGGAGGCGCTTTTCATGTATATAACATTTTTGTATCTGCAAAATTGGAAATGGCGTGTTCATATGCACTTACACCGGGTCAAGCTGTTTGGTAGCAATGGTTTGGTTATTTTAAGCTTCTAACCATAAAAGAATGGCTGGTTGACTTGACTTCAGCTGCACCGTGAGGCTTCAGCCACTTTGTTCCTAAGTCCTAACTACTCCTACTGTACCGCGAAGTGTTGTGCACTTCACCTAAAAGGCCGTTTATACTTGTGTATGCTTGTTTTGCACAACACTTGTGTGCCCGTATATGCTTGTTTTGCAAACAAATCAACTCAATGTTGTAGTTTCTGATGTTCTATATGCAATTCATTGATCAGTACCTCACTTTGTTGACACTTCACAGTATATGCAATAGAATACATGGTCTTCTCTGACGAAATTACATAGTACCTATCAGCTTACACGAGAAATACAAGAAAACTGATGTCAACTAAGATCTCGAAAATATATCCTCTCAGCAGTCAGCATCACATTTAGTTCTTCACCCTAATTTTGCAAAATTTGATATATGCCACCCGTATCTCAATGGTATGTAGGAGCTACATGAGTCAATGACGGCATGGTTTAAAATTTCCCTTTTAAATATATGGTTATTTTCGTTCAGAAGGTCGATCCATATCTAACAGACAAGCACCGCCGCATTCCTTCACCGAAATTCTACTGCAAGCCTCCAAGTCAAAACAAGATCTAGTTTAGTAGCAAAAAAATACTAATTGAGTATAGGTTTCAAAAAAAAAATAATTGAGTAGTATTAACATTTCCATTGCAACTTAGAAAACTCAGCATGCTGTAACATTAGTTCAGAATAGTGTCATCAGCATCGTACTTGTCAATTTGCCGTGAAACTTCTACTAGTTATAATTACCTTGAAGCTTCATTAGCAACAGCATGATCTAGACAGCGACATTTTATTTAACATGGAAGGAATTGTTTCGGGGACAAGGGGACACACATTACTGAGTGAAGTTTGACTAAGACAAGTACACCATATCGAAGCAAAATACAGAGCAGTTATAAATAAGAGTCTGAGATCTACATATGTGTGATAAAATAACCAATGCTCATGTCATTGAAGAATTTGTAGGGGCAAATGGGCTTCTTTTTTTTTATAGTGTACGGAGAGTTTACAGGGATATCTCTATCGGTATCAGTTGCGTTTATATTATACTACGAGTTATGAGTGGTCAAATATGAGTTTTCCAGCTCATGAATCATCAAGCCCAAAAGATCTTGAATGCCCCGCATCTAGTACTTGTTTAATGATAAAGAAAATATCTATGATGTTTTCATCTTCAAAGCCCTGAAACTAGTGGACTAAACAATGTATTACATGAAAAACAAGTCAGACTGACTTCCTGCATATTCTCAACTTGGCTGGGCTAGTTGTTTAGGAGGGTGAAAGGCCATACCTTTTACATGAGTGTTAGCTTCCAGTTCGAAGAATGAAATCAACATGTGTGCTAGGTGACACAGTTCATTTTCCAGGTTTCGCCAAACAAACAGGCAATGAGGTGACAAAAGTAGACATCCATCACGATTCAAGAATTCCTCGGATCACAGACGAATAAAAGGACAAACAGGGCAACACGGTCTCTAGAACCAAAAGTTCAGTCTTTTTCCAGTTCCGATGTCTGTTCATCTAAGAACCTGTCTTTCCATTTCGCACGATTTCCCGATGTCCCGTAGAGGATCAGCCAGCCTCCATCATTCGCCGGCGGCAGACGTCAGGGCCGTCGGAGATGGTGCTGCGTCGGCTGAACCCGATGGCCAGCACATGGTCGTCTCCTACTCTCCTTGGCGATGGCCTTGCCGCCTCGGTGGAGGCGATCAGTCGGCTTGATCTCGAGGCGCCGCGAGCGGCGGCTGAGGAAGACGATAGGCGCGTGCGGGCTTCCGACCGAAGCAGATGGCCCGCATGTCAGTGAAATGATACGGTCAACCACTGGGTCTTCATTGACCGTCGGCCCACGAGTGTGGGAGGATCCGACTCAGAACAAGCCCACAATCTGGCCGCCCCCTCGGCCTTTAGGCTTTAGGAACCCACGTGTTTTTGGCCCAGCAAACAATGCATCGGCTCAGAATAGAGATGGCAATGGGTACCCATAACCCGAGACCCGACGGGTTTTTACTCTATTAGAAGCCAATCGTGTTCTAACTCTTATACCCATGGGTCTACTAACGGGCGAAAACTCTTACCCATTGGGTACGTGGGTATGGGTCTGTTCTTTACCCACCCGTACCCACCAACCCGTGGGTAGAAAAAACCCGTTGATTGAGTCTAAAACTATGAGCATTATAACTCTCAACGACTACTAAATCATAGCATAGAACTTCTTTCACATCTTAAAGCATTGCTTAGTCTAGTTATATGAAATTATTATTCGATTTCTTGATTATGTAATGTGGTTGTATAATTTTTTTACTCGCCTTTTGAACACTAATATTAATAGCATTTTTGCTAGAGAAAATATGGATGGTTTACAACTCTAATATGGCTAATTATAGTATAAAACTATAAAATATTACAAGTCAATTATATGGGTATGGGTACCTGTTGGATACCCGTTACCCGCATGAGTGTGGGTATGGGGACAATTTTGTACCCGCGACGGGTGTGGGTATTTAAGTGGGAGTATTTAGACATCATAGGTGTGGTTATGGGGCAAGAGAACCCAATGGGTATGCACCCGTTGCCATCTCTAGCTCGGAAAGATATATGATTAAGTCTACTTTAATTCTCTTAAAATATAGATTCCAATCTGATTCGTATCAAGTGCTGGAGCTTGAGAGAAGTTCTAGAGGGGGGCAGTTATCATAGAGTGGAATACTTATATTGGCAATAAATGAGTTTTATATATAGCTAGTGGTACTAAGTAGAGATGGCAACGGGTGCATAACCCATCGGGTTCTCTTGCCCCATACCCACACCCACGATGTCTAAATATTCCAACTTAAATATCCACACCCGTCGCCAGTATAAAATCGTCCCCATACCCACATCCATACGGGTAACGGGTATCCAACGGAGCCCATATAATTGACTTGTATCATTTATAGTTTTGTACTGTAATTAGCCATATTAGAGTTGTAAACTATCAATATTTTCTCTAGCAATAATGCTATTAATATTATCGTTCAAAGGCGAGTAAAAAATTATACAACCACATTGCATAATCAAGAAATCAAATAATAATTTCATATAACTAGATTAGAACAATGCTTAAGATGTGAAATGAGTTTTATGATATGATTTAGTAGCCGTTGAGACTTATATTGCTTATAGTTTTAGGCTCAATCAACGGGTTTTTTTCACCCATGGGTTGGTGGTACGGGTGGATAAAGAACGGACCCATACCCACATACCCCATGAGATTTTCGTCCGTAAGAGTTAGAAGACGATTAGCTTTTAATAGAGTAAAAACCCGTCGGGTCTCGGGTTATGGGTCCCCATTGCCATCTCTAGTACTAAGTATAAACCAACGGTTTATTATTATATTATAATGTATCGATGGCACAAGTAGAATTTACAAAATGTGTATTTGTATTGTGAAATGATTGCTAAGTATATCTTTGTTAAGAAAAAAAAAACTATGTTGTACCTAAGTATAGCTATTAAATGGATAGGAAAAGATCACTCGAGTCAAAAAAGACAACATATCAGAGTTATTGAAAATTAATACTTATGTTTTATGTGAGCTATTTTATTAAGAAAAAATAAACTATATGTTATCGACATAATGAAAATGATTTGGCAAGCCATTAGACAACATATGAAAGTTATTGAAAATTAAGAGGTTATATGAGAGCTATTATATTAAGAGAAAAATAAATTGTATGTTATCCACGGAAGGAAAATGATTTAGCAAGCCATTACACTGAAGAAAAAAGAAGTAAAGAATAAGAGAATGGAGTTCCCAGGGATAAGAGTACGCTTTGCTGCCAAAACTGAGGGGCCCGGGCAACACCCAGATTGGCCTCCATAAGCTCCGTCCTATTTGTATTCTTCAACGGTAATATTAGATATCTCGACTCCCAACTATTAAACCGGTGCAATTTGACTCCCTCGACAGTATTGATAGTGGTTTTTGTTGACGTGGCATGTTGACATGACCCATCCCGTTCAGTCAGCATGAGTGGCCCACATGTCATTCTTCTTCCCTTATTCCTCCTCCCCCTCTATCTCTTCTTCCTCTTTCGGCCCTTCCTTCCCGCACAGCTTCACCACAGCGGTGGCAGCAACGGGACGACAACGAGGCTTTGCTCTCTATCCCACCACAGCCCCGTCTGCACCGGCTTTGTCGTGGGTGAGGTACTCCGCTCGAGGGAGGCGTAACTCGATGGCTAATGGCACTCTCAAAACAATTGAGGTAGTCATTTTAAATATTTTTAATAGTTGGAGAAGTCGTTATATTTGATTTTGTGATTGAGGGAAATGAATCAAATCTGGCCACTAGTTAAGAGGGTAAGTGGAAAAACACTTCAGAAGGGTTGTTCTTCGCCTTCCACCTAACCTTTTTCCAAATATATATACATGGCAATTTTTTTTGGTGGTAGAGTTGAATATGTTGACAAGGATTCTTAGAACCATATTTCTTTGCTGGATGTTACTACATGAGATGTAATGTTTGACATGGTTTAATTGATATAGGTGAAGTTCAGTCTTGCATCCCATAAGATTTCACTTGAACACCACCAAACCCTTGATCATTTTATTAAATAAAAACATAGTAAGAACAATATATCAAGCAATCACAATTAGTAGTTAGCCTAAACAAGTGATTGTAAACAATTTTCTTGTTACTCTACGTTTCATCTTACCGATCGGTGAACAGGTTAAGTATATTTGTGTTTCTCCAAATTCTCATTCATATCCATTAGAATTCTCTGGCGTTTTTTCTGTCTTAGCAGCAGTTGGACACCGGCACAACAGAAATAGTGTATTTTCCGAAGTGAACCTCCTAGTGTGTTATTGTGATCAACTGATCATATATGGAGCTATTTATGTGCAAATGTCACACTGTGGGCATGAGGTTCTCCCTCTTCATGAACCTATCAACCAATAAAGTGTGAATACGCATTGGCATGATGATGATGGATTAGTCAGAGGCGCATCCTGATTCCTGAATCACTTCCAAAAGCATTCCCTGCTAGCATGCTAATGTACACTGGTCTTCAGCCCATGCAGCACCAAAGGCCCAAATCTGATAGGGCCCATACAAGACAATTGAGCCCACAACTATTTGGACCTGCCGTTATCAGGCTGGGCAGTATACCACTGTAGCTTGTTACATTGTTGCCACTAACGAGTAACGACTAACGACAGCGTTTTCAGTCCACGAGCCTGTTCACCACTTTAATGTAAAAAAAGCCTTACTAAATTTTGGCAGCTTAATTTTGGTAGGATTTTTTATATAGTTACTAAAATTTGGCAGCAAACTAAATGTAGCTATTTTTTTTGACAATTTTACTAAAATTTGATAAGGTTGAAAATAGTATAAAGTGAACAGGCCTTATACTAAAAGCTAGTTACTGTACTCTTTACTGCTCACTGGGAGGGAGTAAAGTTCACGCCTTCACGGCAGCCAAGGAATCGGGGCAAAGAGCTCCTGACCCCTGAATGCATTTTAGCGCTGAAGTACTGCCAATGATACAGCACTGAATGGTGCACCAAAAGAGAACCAAGCATATGCATAAGAATAAGAGAAAGTAAAGAGGCTAGATTAGCTGGCTCTTGCATCTGCGGCCGTAGCAACATTCCCTTTTTTTCTGTTCGTTTTTTGAGCTCCACGCCAGGAGGCAGTACAGAACCAAGGAACTTGAAACGGGATACTCCGTCTGACTGACATGCTACTGATAGCTAGAGAAGATGCAGCTTTGTGCTAAGCTAAGACTAATTAGTGACGGCGCTAGTGAACAACTATAGCTAAACCAAAGCTCGAGCATTGCCCTGGTACGTACATTTCAGTGTTCAGAGCCCGTGGCTGTGATGCCGGTGGTGGCGGCCGAAGAAATGCGCCGGCGAAGGAGCAGGGGCCGGAGCGAGGCCGGCGGTGGTGGCGTTGAACGGCGTCGCCGGGAACGGCGGCCAGGTGGCGTTCGGAGCGGCGCCCGCCGGCGGCAGAGGGGGCGGCGGGCACTGGTAGCACTTGGTGAAGAGCCCGAACGTGTCGATCTGGCGGACGAAGTTGGTCATGCTGGCCCAGCCGCCGAACCCGAAGCCGACCACCAGCACCCACGCCACCACGAACGCGTTGATGATGAACGTGCCCGTCCATCGCCCCACGAACCGCGGCGGCGGCTCCACGGCGTTCTGCAGTTTAGCATTCAGACAAAGGATTCTCAGTTCAGGCTCACACCATCACAACAACAGAGCACACAGCTACTAGCTTGTACTCCATTAAAATGTAGTACTGAGTACAAATCACATGACTTCTAAATTTGCTACTCACTCCGTTTTATAATATAAGTCATATATATGTCTAGATTCATTAATATCAATATGAATGTGGAAAATACTAGAATGACTTAAATTGTGAAACGGAGAAAGTAGTACTGAACTTTTTTGTGTCGTCTTGCAAAGAGAGTGGTTCGATGCTCGTCCAAATATACCAGGACGAATGGTACAAAAGAGCCCTCTGTCTCCTGTTTTTCCTCAACAGTCTACTTCTAAGCTTGGTACTAGCACCCTTTTGCTTTTCTTGCCACGTTAAAAGACAGATCAACACTGCCGCAGTTTTGTCTTACATTCAGTACGACAAAAGCAGCGGCAATACTTACCACCCTAATGATGTTTCACCCTTGATCATAACCAAGGTTACCTTTTGTATCAGCATCTTTCCATAGTCCATCCCGAACAAGGGTGGACCCAACTAGCATTCGTCTAACTCACTTGATAAATGTATAACCACTGTGCTAAGTGGCATCTAATCAGTACCTAGCTAGCTTTGGCGTGCCAATGTAAAGTGCAATGCGACATGCAAGTCCTACACTAGTAAACTCGCATGATAAAAGTGAAACCAAAAGGTTAAAAAAAAAGCGCAGTGATTAAAAAGATGCCAAGATTTTTACTATACCTCACGAGCGTGCGCGGAGCGGAAGGTGATCATGTGCGCGAGGGCGGGGATGATGTAGACGGTGAAGCTGACGAGGAGGGAGCCGACGGCGGAGTTGATGGGCCCGAAGAAGGGGAAGATGATGGCGAGGAACCAGATGGGCACGACGACGGGGAGCCTCGCGGCGGCGCGCTTGAAGAGGCTGCGGCAGTCGTGGAGTCCGATGAGCTTCTCCCAGACGAAGTAGAGCGGCGTGCAGGCGAAGCCGAAGGTGATGAACTGGTGGATGAGCATGAGCACCACGGCGGCGTCCCGGAACGCCGTGCGCGGCAGCAGCGCCAGCGCATTCGAGTGCGTGAGCAGCTCGTCCCCGAACGCCCAGTACACGCTCGCCGCCGACGGCAGCGTCAGCGTCAGCACGTACAGCGTCGCCATCAGGTAGATCGCCTTGAACTTCTGCGGCCTCCACATCGCGTGCATGATCTCCCTGCGCGCACCAAAATCACACGTAATGTTGTCACAAACTGCTTTGACAGTTTGGTCAATTATTACAGTATTGACGCTGCTGTAAACGATCGATGTAACTGCGAGCCTGCAAGGAGGGTGACCAGATACTGAGAGCGGAGGCGTGGCGTTATTGCCTTTGCCTTACTGTACTGCTAGCTCGTAGCGTGGGTACACGGTACAGAGTTACGTGGACATCCGTGCCTTGTCCGTGCATGTTTCGTGGCGTTGTCCATCCGTGGTCCGTGGTGGATGGCAGGATGGGCATCGTATCTACAGCAATGCAGGCGCAGGCCGCAGGAGCCACCCTGAGGTAAAGCAGCAAATGCTCTCCCGAGTTTGGACGCTAGCTATAGCTCTTTTGACTGTCCAAACCATGAATGAATGAGCAGAGGAGTACTCCTCCTGCCAGTGTGTAGCCTGGAAATGGGAGTGCATGGGTTCGCTGCCAAAGATGCAACAGTGCGGGGTAGATGCTTTGATTCGAGTCGTAGTTGCTTTTCTGAAATGTGCTGGCTTGTTGAATTTGTGCAGTTTCAGAAAAGAAAATTTGCAGCCTACGGTACTCTCTACGGTGTGGCATGTGACTGAGACCATTTCGTGCAGTATTCCTTTTGACACAGGGGCATAGAATAGAGAGCGTTTGTCGGCTTACACAGTAACAGCGTGCCCACCGAAGGTGTAGAGAATGTTTGTGGCCCCGGTGAAGTAGAGGACCATCTTTGTAGGGCCCGAGTGCTTCACTCCATCGACCTGATATTCATACAAAAAACACAAGTGTTTTTTCAGCACAACGCAATGTAATAATGTTCAGGCATGCGCCTCGCTATTCAGACGAGAAATGCAAGCATGCTGCATGCTAACAGATGGTGCTTTTGTGTTGTACTACCTGGCCATGGATGAGGGAGGCGACGGCGAGGTACCAGGCCGTGTAGGTGGTCATGACGAGGCCGAGGAATGACCAGATCCGGTAGTTGTGGAACGACGGGATGAACACCGTCGTCGCGCAGCACGCGCCGAAGATGTAGGTCCACGTCCTCTTGTCCAGCTTGTCGTTGATGTAGTAGATGTTGCTGCACTCACACATTGTACACATAAAACAGACGCTAAAACAGATACTAATGAGTACATTCAGACTTCAGTGGCTTTAGTAGCTGCAGGTACGTACCTAGCGCAGGCGATGAGCTGGATGACGGAGCCGAAGAGTAGGAAGGTGCAGTTGAAGGCCAGGCCGACGTTTCTCCAATGCCTCCCCAGCAGGCCGTCCAGCACCTCGAACCACTGCATGCACATCAATGGTTGAAGTCTTCAGGGTCTGAACTTACAGAACATACAGAGAAGAGAAGACCGTACGGCGGCGAAATGGATTTGAACAATGTAGTTTTTGTTTACCTGGATGACATGGTTCCTGAAGTCCACCTTCTCCCTCTCCTTCCTGGTCCTGTACTCCACGTACAGGATGCTGATGAGATACGCCGTCCAGCTGCCCAACAGCCCGTAGAAGAGCTGGAACAGTATGCCGCTGAGCATCCCCAGCTGGGAGAACGAGTAGGGCAGCGTCAGGAGCACCTGGGCCACCTGATCGAAGCACACAGCAATGCAGATTTAACCGAACGGCTACACATCGATCACGGCACAAACCTACCTTAGATTGCATGCATTTCGCAAGAAAATGGAAGCAAGCATAGCGTCGATCAGAAAATGTGGTCACCTGGTTGGACGCGCAGCTGAACCAGGCGTCGTAGGCTGAGCCGCCGTGCCAGAGAAGGCCGGAGAGCCGGGACTTTGCGGTGCTGGGTCCGCCGCCGTCCTGCTCCATTTCGACGTAACGGCCGACGCCGACCGTCTCGGCCGGCGCCTTCTCGTTGGCGAGGCTCCCGTCAGCCGCCGAGCCCATGATCACTGCTTAGCTAGACCGTGAACACGTAACAGTACTCGGTGTGTGGTGGTATCCTGGGCTAGTTAAGATACCTTCCTCTTCTGTGCTGAGCGCGCAGTATCGTAGGAGAGGATATAGTGGACGGGAGGAGAGGGAGCGGTGTCTTATATGGAGACCGCAGTGCAGCGTGGTGTGAGGCAAATCCGACAGCTGAGCATAAAGAAGAATGGCTTTCTCTTAATGGATTATCTATATATCATGTGACAGAAAATTTCACCTCCTATCATTCGAATTTTGAATCATTGGATGTGCTTTAAGATTGAGATAATCCCTTATATGCCACTGAAAATTGGTCTGGTCTCTTATGTGCCATTGAAAATTGGCTTTTCCCTTATATGCCATTAATCCAAATTTGTGCACCCTCTCATGCCACTATCGTCAGTTGACCGTTAACTCTCCAGTAAAAAAGACATATTTGCCCTCTCTGAGTTGTTAGGCATGCCCTATACTCAGAAGGGTAAATACGTCTTTTTTCCTTGAGAATTAACGGTCAACACACGGTCAACTGACGGGAGTGGCATGAGAGGGTGTGCAAATTTGGATCAATGGCATATAAAGGAATAGCCAATTTTCAATGGCACATAAGAGATTAGATCAATTTTCAGTGGCATATAAGGGATTCTCTCTTTAAGATTCGTGCATCCCCTTAACCCTAACTCCTCCTCCTCCTCCTCCTCCCCCCGGTTTCCAGATCACGCCGCCACCCTCCTTCTCCCATCCCATGCGCGATCCGCCGCCGCCACCACCGCCACCGCCCCACCGCGCTGCCGCCCGCCTTGCCGGCTGGCCGAAAAAGGTCAGCGGCACCGGCGAGGCCCCAACGGCGAGCCCCTCCCCCTCCCCCATCCCCCTTCCCTTCCCCCCTCACTTTCTCCTCATGGTGCGATGACGAGGTGCCCCCGCCCCACCGTCTTCCCCGTCTCCGGCGGCTCCCCGCCGCCGGATCCGCCACCACCGGCCGCCGCCTCCTAATCCCACCCTTGCTTTGACCCCGCCGCCAACGCCGGCCCACCGCCCTCCTCCATCCCCGCGGCTTCGCCGCCGCCTCGCCGCCCGCCGGAGTCCACCGCCCACCGCCGGTCCTCCGCCGCCCACGGCCATCCTTCTAAGCCCCGAGGAAACCCCCCTCCTACCCTCACCCCAACCCCAAACCCTAACCCGCCGGAGTTGGGGTGTCGCCGGCGCCGGAGAAGAAGGGGAGCCCGCCGGAGTTGGAGGAGAGAAGCTGATGCACGAATCTTGGCATGGATCCAATGGTCTAAAATCTGTAAGATTTCATCCCCAAATTTCATTCGAATGCCATATAGCAATTCCGTTCTCTTAATCCTTGTTTCTTTTGACGGCTCTTTTGATTTTTGCCAACTGGTTGAGAAAGAGAAAAAAAAAGATAAGAACATGTTACAGTTTGTGTAAGAGTACGTATATGTGATCGGTTATAATTTAGTACTTAGAGTTATACTACGTGTTAAAGATTAGTAGAGTCAAACTCTGTCGTAGGCTCTCTTTTTTAAATAGAAAGGTACTTATGTTATAATTATGTGATAACAATAGCATGAATGTGGCTATGACTGCTAGCTGGTGGTAATGTTGGTCCAAGGCCGTGATACCTGGATATACTATAATATACTGGTCGGGTAGGAGCGCCCGTAATAAGTTTTTCGGAGATGTAAACTACGTCTGAACTCTATTATTAAATATCTTGTCACGATGTTGTCATTGCGTTCAGATCTTCTATGTCGTTCTGCATTCGGACCCTGATGTGCTATCGGCGCTAGTTTTATAACAAAAAAAGAAGAAGAGAGGCTTCCAAATTAAGCTGGGGAAAATTTATTTCCATTTATTTTGGTTGTTTGCAAGTTGGTTTTCTTAAAGAACGGAGATAAATGTCAAATATTCTAAAACATGTTTAGAAGTTCTTCATTTTAAAGTTGTGGCCGATACAAGGATTTTCGTTTGGAATATGTAAATTTATCATATACTCTTTTCATTCTAAAATATAAGACAACTATTACTAACACAAAAAGACACAAATATTTTTTATTACCACCTACTCGTTTAGAACATTTCAATACATATAACGCATGCAACTAATACAATTAAATATTTTAAGGGTGTAGGATTTATAAACAAATTTTAAAAGAGAGGTATGTACTAGTTAATTACATGTACGCATACATGTATTATATAACATAAAAAAAATGATTGTCTTATATTTTAGAATGGAGGGCGTAAATAAGTTAAATTATTATTTGTTGGGTCAGTGAGACACCGACCTAATTTATGGTGAACAAAATTGGTTAAGTTTTCATTTTTCACGTAGCGTTGAAAGTTTACGTCCACTTTAATAGTTGAAAAGTTACAATATTGTTTAATAATTGAAAGTTCACGTCCAATTTAGCCTTGATCGGACCGACAACGATGATTCATTACTCCTCCTAAAGATGTTGTTGTGCTGTTTTATCCCTCATGGGTGTTTGCTGGGCAATTGAATTTACAGGTAGACCCAAAGATATAAGTCTGCACTTAACAAAAACAAAGGCAGATAGCATTACAGATATTACAAGCACCAGCAGCCGTAGACTATGGTCAGTCGCATTGCACCATGAGGTTACCTTTTTTTTTACGGATGACAACATAGTACAAGTTATCATGGTGTTTAGAAAATTTTGCTGAGTTATCATGAATCCTTAAAATGTATTTTTGATAGACGAATCTATTATGGGTGTTATATACTCTCTTTGTCTATAAAAAAAACAGATATAGAATTAGATATTGTATATTCTAGTATGTTCAGATTCGTTCTGCTAGGATATGTGACTTCCAGTTCTAGGTTTATTTTTTTTAGTGATGGAGGAAATAGATCTAACGGGCACATATTAGCCGTAAATATTTTTATAGAAAAAATTAACATATATACATGGCCTCTTAAGGTCCCATAGAATTATTTTCCATTGCTACCCCAGAGTTTTTCGCTGCTTCCGGTTACGGCGGCGAGCCCGCGAGCCAGAGCCTCCCTTGCCGTTCTCTCGCGGTCTTGCCCTGTGTTCGTGCCCACGAGGCCACGAGCCCGGAAATGCTCTTTGCCCGCACGGAACGGCGGCCGCGGATGGCCGGCCGGTCCGGAGCGCCACGCCGCCACCCCACCGCTGCCAACGGGGGAGTCGGGGACACGGGCTCGACGCGAAATGGGACCCCATGCTGCAGCGAGGAGAGGGGGATATGCCGTATGCGGCCGATGCGGTGCGGGTCCAAGTGGCCCCGCGGCCACCTGGTCCTGGGACATTCCTTCCTTTCCGCCGGTACACTGTTTCCCTCCTTTGGGAGCCTTCCTAGGCACCTCACTGTTTACTCCTCCCCTCCTCACGCCCCCACAAGAACACACCACACGCACATGCGATTCTCTCCTCTCCTCTCGCGATTCCTAATCCCACGGACGACGAATTTCCTGCGGAAATAAGGAAATGTCTCGAGCATGCATGTTCAGGGTCCCATGATGCAGCTCGCTCGATCGCTCACTCGCGCCTTGAAACCCAAAAGAGCTCGATTCCTCACGAGAAAGGATGGGGAGTGGGGACGATCGGCAAGCGGCGGTGCAGCCCTGATTGGCTAAACGAGCCCCCATGCGCGCCGGAGGTGTTGCCCCGGGGAGCAAGTGCCCGTGTTGGGCGTAGTGTACAGCGGCCTCTCGCCGTAGCCTTCCCTTCCACCGAGCGCGGTTTCAGATGAGGAATAATACTCACTCACTCCGAGCAACAAGACGGCAACTCCACTCGATCTAGCTCCTCGAGTGCGGCGTACATCCGGCCAGGGTAACTGCGCCGAGCTGTGCAGTGAGCCCTTTACCCTGGTAGCTAGTGGAGGGATACAATAATTGGAGGGTGGCTGTTCTCAAGTTTTGGTAAGTTTGCTGATCCTAGAACGACCTCATTTGGTGCTGTGATTATGGTGGTAAGTAGGTGGTTATGGTACTTCTTACAGAAAAATGGCAAACATTCTTCTTTTTTTACTGTCCACAACCTGTCGGAAAACCTTACACAAAGTCGGGGGAAAAGCTACAGCTGGGCTCCTCCACCGGGAAAATTCGTTCAGCTTGAACAGTTGATGCAAATAGACTCAACAGCTACCCAAACGATCAAACCGATATGAGTTGCAGCACTACATAGGTGAAAAAAAGAGAGCAAAGGTTGCTTTTGGTGTGGTGGAGTATCCTGCACAGATGGGCCATTTTTTTTCTTCTAAAAAGTTGGTCTTCGTTGTTTGCACCTGGCACGTTCAAATGGAAGTGTACATGATGTGCATGCATGCCTACTTGACACTCATTGTTACTACATGCATTGCTCTTTCGCTTTAGTAAATGGTTTCATGGCACACTGCTGGTGGAAACAATTCCGGCGTTTTTCAGCTCTAGTTTGGTAGAGGAATTCTTCTTTAAGCGACTTAATAAGAGTGGTTATTAAGTCATTTGAGAAGTACTTGATGGAGAAATTATTTGGTGGGAAAACCAATGGTGGGGGAGTCTATTCAAAGGCTCAACCTTTCAAAGCAGCAGATAAACACACAAACACTGTGGAATGGAAACAAACACAAAGGCACTGCATCACAGAAGCTGCACAGCCAGGCATCTGCATATCTGTCTATGATGACACGGCATCATAGCTGGACATCTGACGTATCTGTTGAGATTATAGGCATATAATGATTTAATTTATTCCATAAATAAATCATGACATTACAGATGAAAACTAGTATGAACGCATCATTAGATCTACACATGTAAACTACACAGTATAACATGAACAGATCAAATATGCGCAACATATTGAACACGTACCAAGGTGGTGGAAAGACCGGCTGCTCGGCCGAAACTTTTCGCAGGAGTCTACGAAGGCACGCAGCACGCGAGCGAAGAGGAAGACGAGCCGTTGCGGACAAACAGGGAGCAATCGCACAAAGCGCTTCCCAAAAATCTTATTGCCGCCTACTCCCGGTGCAGAACGTCGAAGGCAGAGGTTCCGGAGACCTGCTCTCCCGATCGCAGGTGCACGCCGGCGAGCGGGATGGAGTAATCTACAAGCGACGGAGCAGCACAGAGTCAGAGGCAA